AAAAAAAAACAACAGACTTCATCTACAACTAAGCACCAAAGCCCAGCCACACACTTACTATTGTCTTCACATATGAATGTGGTCGTAATGACTGGATGCTGGTGCCAGAATTGCCATCTATGCAGGATCGGGCGCCAAAGATCACTGAAACTGGAATGTCGGCGTGCATTTTACCAATTCTCTGGAGCATTGGCCTTTTTGCCCATCCATAAGGAATAGTCATATTTTTGAAAGCTGTTTCACCACTTAAAGGGAAGGAGGAAGTCACATGTATAGTAACATTTTGCTTCTGTCTCATTTAAAAACAACCTACACTTACATAGAAATAATTTGCTATAAATTCAAGGAACAAACCCCCAGAAGATACAACACTGCTAGATAAACAAGGCTGCTTTGAGCTGTAGTGCTTTTTATAAGTTTTCTTCTTTTAAACCAAAACATGGTTTAATTCTCTATCCTGTAGTCCCTGTGTGGCACCTACAGTTAAACACCGGATGACTAAGTGGAAGGTTGAACACACTTAGAGGTGTCTCAGGAAGACAAGCCTGGTGATCTGTTTCTGAAAGGTCACAGCCTTGAAAATGCTATAGAGCAGCTCTAGTTTGCATATAAGTTCACCATGAGTCGGTATCTAGTTGATGACAGCTAGCAAAAATCCTCTTAGCATTAAAATATTAAATTATTTCTTGTGGAGATAGTTTTTAAATGTCTTTTTCTTTCTTTCTTTCTTTTTTGCGTTTTTCTGACATCCGTTTTACTGCCACAGCACGGCTGCTGAGGTCCCCTTGGTCCGCATCACCAGAGGGCTGTTTGTGGGGGGCATACACAAATGCTCAGTACTCGGCAGACATCCTTCTGTAGCCAGAGACTGGAGCAGTGTGAGCCAGAGCCGTGCTGTGGCGGTAAAACGAATGTCAGGAAAAATGTCTTTTTCACTCTGACTTATTTTCAAATTCATATGGAATGTAGCTTTTCCAATGGTTCATAGTGTCTGCTTTTGACCTGCAATAGCAAAGCCAATCAAGCTAAAAAGAAGCTTGCATCAAGAGTTTTTGGAAATTGTTGGGAGAGGACCCTTTTGCTGTCATTTCTGTTATTCTTGCAGCAGCACGCAAAATTAGAAACTGCCATGTATGAAGAATTCATGTTCCACCATAAGAAAAGCAACACACTAGAACTACATGGCACACATGACCATGAAATACGTAAAATACCAAGATCTTACAGGAAAAGAACCATGTTCCTGGGACAGAACTCCTGAAAACCATTAGAATAAGGTAGTAAAAAATGTGCAAACCTAATCCATGAACCCAAATGCCTAGAAAAAACCCTACTGCCATCAAGTCAATTCCGGCTCCTATCGGCCCTGTAGAGGGAGTTTGAGGCTGTAAATATTTATGGCAGCAGAAAGCCTCATCTTTCTCCCACAGAGAAGCTGGCAGGTTTGAACTAGTAGAGAGCAGTCCAGTGCTTACCATACAGTGCCTCAGAAGAACAGATAAAGATATGGTAGACTGTAGAGCTGAAAAGAAGAAAATTATTCTAGAGAATCACAAAATACAAATCACTTGAGGACTCCACTTCCAGCTTCCCTAACCTATCTTTCTAAAGGGCTATAGCTACACCTCAATAGCTTCCATAGCCTTGCCATCTTAATAAAGCTTTAAAATACAGTCCATGTTCCACCTTGCAGTAGAATCACCTGAAGCCCTTGTTAAATGTGTGTGTGCGTGAGTGTGTGTGTGTGTGTGTGTGTGTATATGTTGTTGTTAAGGAGGTCTGGTAGCGTAGTGGTTACAAATCGGGCTGCGAATCTTAAGGTCAGCAGTTTGAAACTACCAGCTGTTCCATGAAAGGATGATGAGGCTTTCTGCTCCTGTAAAGATTATAGCCTCGGAAACCCTATACAGAGTGGCTATAAGTCGGAACCGACTCCACGGCACATAACCACAACCACCATGTTGTTGTTAAGTGCCATCAAGTCAGTTCTGACTCACAGCAACCCTATGTAGGGTTTCCAAGAAGCAGATTACTTATCCTACAGCACCACACATAATCTACAATTTTTTGAAGCACCCTTGTATGTATGTTTGTTTCTTTTAAATAAATAACATCTTTGGTTGGCTCTCTTGCTCTCTCTGGCTACTCTTTTCTCCTGTTCCAATCACTCAAAATACATGCAGAATATTTTCCAATCCCTCTCCCCTCACCAACCTGCTCACTCCCCACCCACTGCAGCAGAGCTTCTACACATGTTAAAAGTTGTTCAGAGGAAAAGCAACTTGGAATTACTAAATGAACTTGGAAAATGCTGAATACTATCTCCCCTGCACTTGAAAGATTTGATGTGCTTTGGTAAAATAAACGTTCTAAGGGAGTCCTGGGGTAGCCTTGTAGGGTAAGTACTGGACTCCTAACTGCAAGGTTGGCAGTTAAAACCCACCAGCTGCTCCTGGTAAACCCTATACATGGTTGCTATGAGTTGGAACTGACATGACAGCACTTAACAATGACAAGGCAATCCACAGTATGAAAAACCATTTACTTTCGTTTAATCCTATACCACTTTTTGCCTAAATTCATACCCAGTTTGGGAAGTGTTGCTTTTCTGTTACTCTTTTTCATCCCTTAACTCAGCTCACTGCCTTCAGAGAAACCAAGACAATTGTTTATCCACAAGCCTATCAGTATGTCTTACTTTTTAAGCCCTATCAGAACCCAACACTAAGTTTTATACAGTAGGTATTCTTGAACAGATCAGTGTGTCAAGAAGTACTACATACTTGTCCTTTTAAATTTAGTCATTTAATGATAAAATCTCTTGGATTACTCACGTATTTGAAAAAAGTCTAAAAACAAAATATGTAAATTTAGACTCATAAATGTTACCTCGGAGTCTGTACATTACAATGGTAGATATATTCTGTTACAGTTTCATCTTCAAACATTGACGAGTATTTCCGCTTGAAATCAGGTCTTAAACGTTGCACTAAACTTAAACCTATTAAACATGAAAAATACAAAAAATATTTAGGGTTCAAATGATAATTAGCCTGTTATTGTTGTTGTTCAGTGCCTCTGAGTCAGTTCTGACTCATAGCGACCCCGTCTAGGGTTTCCAAGGAGCAGCTGGTGGGTTTGAATTGCCGATCTTGTGGTTCACAATCCAGTGCTGACCCTACAAGCACCACATGTGCAGACGACATCACATAGAATGTGTTAGTGCTTGCTTATGTGAGTCTTATGTAGATGGACCGCTGCTCATTTACTGACTACTTTTTGTTGCCTGACATATCGTATTTGTATCAACAGTAAAGTATCTACTGACCATTTTG